AAAAAAAAAATTGAGGCTACTAGACTTTTCCTTTTCACAGTATTTTTCTTTCTGATTTCTTGTTTTAGTCATATAATGTTACTTTCAGTTTTTTGCTGTTAATATTACGTTGGCTGTCATGGTCATCACTGACTTCCACACCCCTCCACACAAACAGCCCGTCCTAGGCCATACTTATGTTTAGAATTTTGTTTTAAACACATTGCTTACATCCTCTATATGGTGGACTCCACTGAAAGTATTTCAGTAAAATCTATATATTTGAAAGAAAGTCACATGTAAAGTAGACCTCATAGAACCTTCAAAATACACTGTGTGGAAAAATCAGAAACATTTGAGGATGTTCTGTACAAAAGGTGCCCTGCAGGAGACAAAGGTTAGAGAGCTTAGAAACTAACTGCTGGTATAGGGGGTGAAAAGTGTGAGTCAGAATGCAGCAAGTGCTTTAATAAGTGCTGGAGATCCAACCGCCATGGGAACTATTAATTGGGGTTGAGAAAATTAAGGCTCATTACACTGAGGTGGGGATGGGCTTCCTGTTTCTATGATGGCCTATGAGCTAAGAGTGTTTGGGTTTTTTTTTTTTTTATTTTCATCTGGTTGGAGAAAAATCAAAAGAAGAAAATATTTTTTGACACATGAAAATTAGATGAAGTTCACATTTCAGTATCCATAAATATTTATCAGAATGTAGCCACCCCGAGTGTACACATTGCCCAGTTTCAGATTGCTTAGTTCATCCATTGTGTTGTCTCAGTGTTACAAATGCAGGGTTGATGCTATCTGGCCCTTTATAGAAAAAGTGTGTGGCACATTATCACATATGAATTAAGTTTCTCCTGTTTATCTAGAATGGTATTGGCTCTGTACTGCCCTGGAGGAACTGACAAAACAGTCACACAAATCATTTTTTCTGATTAGGACCCTGGGTTGAGAAAGATGGGGATAAATCTTACCAGGACATTGGTAAAATGGTTATAGACCATTTGGCAGATGAATTACACCTTGAAAAATAGATCCCAGCCGAGATTGAGCAACTAGGCAGAGGCAGGGAGAAGGGAAATGCTATTGTCAGAGAAAGAATAGAAAGTTAGGTCAGGACCAAACCACAGCTGGACAGATTCCTAAGGAACGAAGTGTGCAGAGGGAGGGGATTGACTGTCATGGGCTGCAGAGGGCAAGAGTTCTGAGGGGTGGCTCAGCACCTGTGGCTCAAGTGGCTAGGCACCAGCCACATACACCTAAGGTGGCGGGTTTGAATCCAGCCCTGCTCACCAAAACAACGATGGCTGTAGCCAAAAAATAGCCAGGCATTGTGGTGGGCACCTGTGGTCCCAGCTACTTGGGAGGCTGAGGCAGGAGACTCTCTTGACCCCAAGAGTTGGAGGTTGCTCTGAGCTGTGATGTCACAGCACTCTACCCAGAGGGATAGCTTGAGGCTCTGTCTCAAAAAAAAAAAAAAAAGAGCTCCAAGGGGAACATGGAGCTTGGCATCTAGGAGGGAACTGTGATGAAAGGCAGAGAAGCATCTGGGGCCTACCAAGGTAGGGGGTGGAGAGTGGTGAGACACCAGGGGATCAGCAGCGTGGTTTCTCACCTTGGAAAGGGCCATTGCTCATGGGGCTCAGAGAGCTGGACTCACTACCCACTGAATTGAAATGGCATTCAGACAAGCATAATATAACAAATGGCCTTTGTCTTTCCTTCTAAAAGTAGTGTTCTAGGTCAGATAAGACATTTTTTAACAATGCCAGAGATAAATACTAACCATCTTGATGAGCAACAAGTTCAGCTCTTGGCAGAGATGTGTATCCTTATCGATGAAAACGACAATAAAATTGGGTCTGAGACCAAGAAGAATTGTCACCTGAATGAAAACATTGAGAAAGGTACTGTTCTATGATATTCTTTGTTAAAAAGTGATCTACCTAGGCATTTCAGGTTAGCTGAGAAAATTACTCTGGCAGCTGTTTTTTGTTGTTGTTATTTATAAACGAGTCTCACCTTGTCACCCTTGGTAAAGTGCCATGCATCATAGCTCAGAGCAACCTCCAGCTCTTGGGCTTAGGTGCTTCTCTTGCCTCAGCCTCCTGGGTAGCTGGGACTACAGACACCTGCCACAACGCCAGGCTATCTTTTGTTTGCAGTTTGGCCAAGGCCAGGTTTGAACCCACCACCCTCAGTATATGGGGCCAGCAACCCATTCACTGAGCCACAGGCACCACCCACTCTGGCAGTTCTTAATGATGATATGAGTTTGGTCACAGTTTGGTGATTAGTCCTAACATACAGTACTTGACAGGCCCCTGATTCTTCCTTCCTAATACTGGAGAGTGTCATTTCCCCAGGTGTACAACATTGACCAGGCCTGGGCTAGCTAAATGTCCCTGAGAGGAAGCTTGGCCAGCAGTAGCATGGCCAACAAGGTCACCAGGTCCTCCCTACTGAGGTGTCAGTCGTCTTCCCCACCACAGCCACATGCAAAAACAGCAGTAGGTTACTAACATTACTCTGAAACACAGGGGAGTCGGGCAAATAACTGGTATTTTAAGACCTAATTGTATTTCTTTTGCTTTCAGGATTATTGCATCGGGCTTTTAGTGTCTTTTTATTCAACACTGAAAATAAGCTGCTGCTACAGCAGAGGTCGGAGGCTAAAATTACCTTTCCAGGTGAGTTTACTTAATGAACAATGTT